GAGCATTAGCATCCTTTTAAACCCCAAGTGAGTTATAGTTTACCCCTAAAACAAAGGAGAAGAGCTAGGGATATGTCTTGGAGCTGCCTGTGCTGATCACAGGCACACAACTGTGGAAGGGCCTGGCTAAGGTTAGCACCTCAGATCTCCAGCTTTCTGTTATGGTCCAGCTTCATCCTGCCCTCCACCAGCAAGAAAGATGCCTTGACTACACCAGCTGTCACTGTGTTTCCTTTCTTGATTCCTTCTTTCCTCCTTCCACCCTCTCTCTCTCCCTCCCTCTCTCTTTCTGTCATCCACCCTCCATCCTTCTCCCCATCCCCCTCCTTCTCCCTCTTCCTTTCCCTTTTCCTCCCTTCCTTGCTCCCTCCCTCCCTCCCCATCCCCCTCTCTCTCACCATTTTATGGTATCTTTTATATTGTTAGTTACCTGTTCATGCTTGGGTCTTATGTTCCTAAATAGAATACAAATTTCTCAAGGTCAGAGTATATGTCTCACCTTTTTTTTGTAGGCCTCAATACTAAACACAACCACTCAGTAGATACTTGTGAATGAATTTCTTTTCATTCCCTAGACTTTCTACTATTACAGGCTGCTGAAAGTCCTTTCAGCCTCTATTTCTCCTCAGCAGCTTTATAATCACAGCCTCAGAGTTGAAGCGTCCCTTGCGGCTTACGTAGTCCAACCCCTACCTGAACAAGAATTTCCCTTACCACAAAATGGCCAAGGGGCCATCTGGTAATTGGAGCCTGAACAGCTCCGATGAGGGCAAACCTATTCCCTCCCAAGGCAGTCCATTCCACTCTTTGAAGGTTCTAATTTTTAGGAAGTTTTTCTAGAAGTCAAGCCTAAATCTGCCTCTTTGTAGTTTCCACCTATTGCCTCTGGTTTTGCTCTCTTGGTCAAAACAGAGCAAGCCTTCTCCTATGCACTGGCCTTTCTGTCCTCCTAACCCTTCTCTCCTCTAGGCTAAACAACCTCACTTCCTTCAACTCATCCTCATAAGACATAAACTTGGGACCCTTCACCTTCCTGGTCGCCCACTTGTAGATATTCTCCAGCTATTCTAAAATGTGGCACAAAAGAACTCAACACAATATTGCACATGGAGGCTGATCAGGGACTATCACCTCCATTGTTTTGGATACTATGCCTTGCTTAATGCAGAATGATATCACATTAGTTTCACGGGACTCAGAGCTAGTCATAGACTTTTGGATGAAATGATGTATTTAAGGAGTTTTGCAAACGATAAAACTCTATACAAATCTAAGTTATTATAAGGGATTTTATTACTCCTCTCTCCTCGGAAGGTAGTGTGGTGGGACAGAAAGTATGCTAGATTTTGAGTCAGAAGAGGATGCTACTTGTTACCTGCTTGACTTTGGGCAGGTAACCTCCCCTCTCTGAATCTCAGTTTCTTTACCTGCCCAAGGAGGGGATAGTACTGGGTGACCTCTACTGGTGCTTCTAGTTCTAAATCCTAGGAGCTGTGAGCTTCTTTACTTTCCAGGGTGGTCAGGTTTGGGAGTGGGAAGAGCCATATGACAAGACAATCCCCACACTCTAGAACCCCAATTCTATTACTTTCTAGAGAGGGGCTTTGTAGTGCAGCTCCTGAACATTCTGACCCAGTCTCCAACTCTTCCCTCATTATCCCATCAATAGCCAAGTATGCAAAGGAACATGGGTCAGGACACTGCTGTGTTCAAGAACCCTGTGGGGAGCTTACTGGTGCAATGATAGCAATGATGGTAATTCCTGTCCAGCTCAAAGGATATCAAATGGCCTACATTTTGACCCAAACTAGACCTCCAGCCAAGGCCTATAGGTGGCACTCTGATTCCATCAGCTAGGCACTGCTGGTGTAACTGCCTTATGAGTCCTGTCCTAGGACTGCAGTGGGTTCCAAGTCATTAAGACTGCAGTGGGTCCTAAGCTCATAGATAAGAAACACATCCACTACATTTGGGAAATTGGCATAGTAGGGTCCCCCCCAGCCTATGTTCCCAGTTCATCCTAGCTTCATTTGTAGCTAGGGCATCTCTTTGGTGCCCAGTGCTTCCACACTGGGGTCCAGTTTTGGAGGGACTGAGGTTGAGGATGAAGTGGAGAGGCCTGGGGCTCAGGATGAAGGCCACTGGGAGAAGCACCAGGCCAAGTGGGCAGTTCTGGGCAGCTGGGGTTTATTGACAGCCATGAAATAGATGAGGTATGTGTTTCTATTGTATAGGAGTGCCCAGAACCACAGCCAAACTGTTGGTCAGAATTTCATAGAACTGTAAAGTGTTAGAGCTGAGAGGGGCCTTAATGATCACCTAATTCATCTTCCTTGTGCTAAAGTAGAAGTTCTCAAACTTTTTGGTCTCAAGGTCCCCTTTACATTCTTCGAAAGTCATTAAGAACTCCAAAGAGCTTTTTTATGTGGGTCATCTCTATTCATATTTATGATATCAGAAATTAGTATTATGGTAAAAGTAGTTTTCACTTTGTGGATCTCATGAAAGGGCCTCAGTGATCCCCAGGGGTTATCAGGTCACACTTTTAGAAACATTACAGGCAGCTAAGTAGTGTAGTGAATAAATGAGCACTGGATCTGAAATCAGGAAGACTTAAGTTCAAATGGGGCCTTAGACGCTTATTAGCTGTGTGACCCTGGGCAAGTCACTTAACCTCTGTCTGCCTCAGTTTCCTCAACTGTAAAATAGGGATAATAATAGCACCTGCTTCCCAGGATTGTCCTGAGGAGCAAAGGAAGTATTTGTAAAGTGCCTGACACATAGTAGGTGCTTAAAAATTCATGTTTCCTCCCTTCCTTCCACTGTGCTAAAGCCTTCCCACTTCTGCAGCTAGACATTGCTCTTCTAAGGATATTCCCTCCATAGTTGTACTCACATGAGGAATACAAATTCTGAGAGTACAGAGAGTGGTTAATTGATAATGGGAGTGGGGTATTTTTCTAGATTTAGTCTGGATCGTTGGCAGAAACAGTGTGGGAGAAAGCATGGCGACATAGGGGTTAGAGCACTGGAACTGGAGTCAAGAAGGGTTCAAATCGCACCTCAAACACTTGCTACCTGAGTGACCTTGGGCCAGTCACTTAAAATTTTTGTGCCTCTTTTTTTATAACAGGTAAAAGTAGGAGGTTGGATTTGATAGCTCTTTAGGTCTGTTCCTGCTCTAAATCTTGTGACCTTCAGGGTATGGACCAGTGTTGCTCCCCTTTATTCCACCTTGTGTCTTGCCTTTAGGCTTTTGAAATGACATAAGGGTTCTCACCTATTCAATTTGGCCTCTTCTTTCTTCCAAAGAGGTAGTCCTTGGGCGAGAGTATTTTGAAGCTAATTATCTGGGGAGGCAACGTGATGCAACGGGAAAGGCACTGGAACAGGAGACCTGATTTCTAAAATCCTCCCTGCCAATGACTTGTGTGACTTGTGTGGGGAAGTCACTTAACCTCTTTATGTTCTATTTTCCTCAATTTCTTTTAAAAGTATATTTTATTGAAGCCTTTTGTTTTAACATTAGTTATTTCTAGATATATGTTCCCTCCCATAATCAATCAAGTATTGATGAAGCTCCTACTATGTACCAGGCACTGTGCTAGGTACTGGGGGATACAAATACAATGAATAAAGCAATCTCTACTTGAAAACCACTTGCCTTCCCTCCTAAAAAGGAAAGTAATATTCTATACCTATAATCTCTACATCATACTTTCATAAATTTCAAAACAGTCTTAATATTATCATTGGAATTACAGAAGAAACTAGATGATGCACTGGATAGAATGCTGGGCTTGGAGTCAGGGAGACTTGAGTTCAAATCTTGCCACAGATGCTTACTACCTGGGCAAGTCACATAATCTCTGTCTGCTTCAGTTTCCTCATCTGTAAAATGGGGATGATAATGGCACCTACCTTTGTAAAGTGCTTTGCAAAGCTTAAAGTGCTATATAAATGCTAGCTATGTCATCATCACACTTTTCTTTCTCATAGAGTTTGTTATGAAGATCAAGTCATCATCAACACTGATGTGTAGCTATGTGAAAGATATTGTGCGCTAGGAGCTGGGGAGGTATAAAGAGTTGCATAAAATTATTAACAATACCACTGATAACTACCATTTTTACAGCTCACACCTCTAGAAGAATGCTCTCCACAGCATCCATGATGAATGGTCATACAGTCTGTGCTGGAAGACCTGTGGTGACCTGCCACCCTCTGATGTCCTCATCAATCTCACTAGCTACTAGGGCATCTTCCTTACATCAAGCCTCAGTTTGCCTCTTTGCAATTTCTACCCATTGATCCTACAGTAGTTCTTTCCCCTCAGGCCAAGCAGAACACGTCAAATCCCACTTCCACATGGCGGCCCTTCTCCTTTCTCCTTTTTGGAAGGACATGTGGTACAGGGGATAGAATAGTGGACTCGGAATCAGGAAGACCTAGGGTTCAGTTCTTGATTCTGACTCTTACTATGAGACCTTGGACAAGTCATCTAACCTCTTCAAACCTTAGCTTCCTCATCAGTAAATTGCAATATGTACCTCAATTAGTCAATAATCAATCAATAAACATGTGAAGCTCAGATGAGAAAAAGCACTTTGCAAACCTTAAAGTACTTTATGAATGTCGGTTATCATTACTGTTTCTTTTTTTTAGTGACTATGTCTAGATTCTTCCTCACTGTATTGTGTATTTAGAGGGTGGAGAATGGGTAAAGGCAAGGACATGAAATGCAAATGCCTCTATTTTGTGTATTCTCAGTATTCCTGGTTAAAGATTAGGTGGGTGAGCCTGGGCTGAGTGAAGGTGAAACCACTGTTTTGAGATTATCTGTGGATTTGGATTATCCAGATTTATCATGGAAACTTGAGGGTTGGATGAAAGTGTACTCCATTGGATTAAGACAGTAAGGAGAATATGATGGGGGAGTGAGAAGTATGTTCTTGGGTAGGGAAGAGGAAGACAATGGGAAGAGTCACGCCTGGTGGTACCTTGTAGCCATAAGGGCAGGAACAGCGATACAGCTCCATTGGATCCGGGCTACATGTCCCATTGTTCTTGCACGGACCAGAGAGGCAGGGGTTACACTTGGCTGCAATGCTGATGTCCACTGGGTCTGGGAAGCCAAAGTCACAAAATATTTAGAGTCTCCAAAGGATTTCACACAAGTATCTCTGCCTATCTTATTGCCCCACTGCCAACCTCTGCCCTGTCTTGCTGCAACCCCACTACCCCTTTCAGTCAACTTCTAGCCCCACTTTTAGTCTGGTTTTATTCAGGAAGAATAGTCCTCCCCAGGAAAGTTTCCATTAATTCAGCTGCTGCTTGACGATGAAACAATCACAGTGGGAAATCATTCAAAACACTTCTTCAGTCAAATCAATTACTGTAATTAGTCTGATCTGATTTCAGCGCTAATCTGCAAACAATACACTGTAATTAGAAACACTCTGTGCATCTTTTCATAATGCAGGAAGTTCTGTGCCTGGACTCCATCTACTCCCCCCCAGGCTGGCTCCTGATTTACCCCACCTTGGACCTCCCAGGATCCTGCTACTGGAGCTTCCCCACCCTCATGCCATTAGCCTTGGCCAGACTGTGGTAGGCAAAGTTAATTGATGGCAGAAGGCAGTCAGAGGGAGGGACCATAGGTGTGTACTCCACAAGAACAGTGTTCACTGCCTTGACATACTCTCAGGATCTGTGATAGCTCTGGTGGACTTTACAATTGGAGGCCATCTTGTCCAATCCCTTCACTTTACAGATGACCGAACCCAGGCTGAGATAAGTAACTTGTCCAAGGGCAGCTAGGTGGTGCCATAGAGCACAGAGTGCAAAGTCTGGAATCAAGAAGACTAGTCTGAGTTCCAATCTGACCTCAGACACTAGCTGTGTGACCCTGGGCAAGTCACTTAATCCTATTTGCCTCAGTTTCCTCATTTGTAAAATGAGCTGTAGAAGGAAATGGCAAACCACTCCAGCATCTTTGCCAAGAAAACCCCAAATGGAGTAGTGAAGAGTCGGACAAAACTGAAATGACTGAACAACAAAAACTTGTCCAGGGTCACATAACTAGCAAGTGTTGGTGGGATTTAAACTTCTTCCTGATTCCAAGTCTCTATCCCAGTACAGCAGGGGTGGCAAACTATGCCTTGAAGGCCAAATCTGACCTACCATTTATTTTTGTATGTCCAGGGAGCTAAGAATGATTTTTACATTCTTAAATAAAGATATATTATATTTAAGAATGTAAAAATCATTGAGCTCAAGCACTATACAAAAACAGGTAGAGGTTAGTCCTCGGGCCCCTCATTTACCTACCTCCTGCACTGCACAATGATACCTCTTAATAAAGGAGGTAACGTTATCAAAGAAGGCAATTATGATGATGATCTGTTGAAAAGAGGTATCATTTAGTGTAAGAAAACTTTTAACCATTCTAGAGTTAAATGAATTATCTTAATTCATTTCTTATTTCAGTTCCTTGGCAGCTAGGTGGTATAGTGTATGGAGTACTAGACTTAAGTTAAAATGACCTAAGTTTGAATCCTGATTTAAATATTTATTTAGCTATGTGACCCTGGGCAAATCACTTAATCGCTCTGTGCCTCAGTTTCCTTACCTGTAAAATGAGGATGATCATAATAGCACCCACCTCACATGTTTGTTGTGAGGACCAAATGAGATGACACATGTAACCCACTTAGCAAACCTTAAAATGCCATATAAATGTTAGTTCTTTTTATTATGATTAATTGGGAGCAAGGCAGAAGAAGAGGTTACCAAGAAGGGCATAGCCCCTGGGCTGGGATCAGGTCTAATGCTTGTCTGACATTCTCAAGTGAAGACATGACTGGCACACCTGATTCCAAGCTTGGGATCAATGGCTCTTCTCTGTCTCTCTATGACTCCTTAATTCCAGCAAGTCTCTGTGGCTCTGGGCCTTGGAGGCTCCAGGTACAGACAGAGGAATGAAAAATGAGCTTTTTACAAAATAAAAATCAATGCAACTTTTCCAAACTTCAGCAGGGGTCAGGGCCACTGGTAAATCTCCTCCTCGCGTGGTCTGAATGGAGGCCTCCTGAATCCCAATGCACTGTATTGACGACAAAGTGTCTTCCCCTCTATTTCAGTTAAAACAAATTATATGGAAAAGGGCAATGTAAAATTCTCCTTGAAAAAGATGAATAGAGAGTCTGGCTGTCATCTTAGCCACATTTGGGACACTGGGGACAGGCATGCAAGGACATAGACAGATTGGGAGATTTCTTCCATTTGGAGGTGAAAAAAAAACTATCATCAATTTTTTTTGGGAGGAAAAAACCCAACTCTGACATGTATTTATCTGTGTGCCTGCTATTCTTTCCCCACCTCACTTTCTCCCTCCTTCCTTTTCTTTGTTTCTCTCCTCTCTAATTCATAAAGATTGGTTGGTCAGGAGAGATACTGAGCGGTTTGTAAAAATCTGAGGGGAGAAGAGTGTTAAGAAATATATTTGAATTCCTCAACAGCTTGAGAGGTGAGGAGGAAATCAGAAAGGTCTAGGTTGATTGCCATGGGCCAGGACATGACAAGACATTTATGTGGTCAAGATGACTCCCTGGAAATGTACCCAGGCAACTCCTTTCCCTAAAAGCCCCAAGGAGTCCTCCTTTTTTTTATTTTGGGGAGGATTAAGAGGAAGTGGAAAGGGAAGGTTAAGGAAAAGAAGGATGAGAAGATAGATGAATATATTTCAGGGTGAATTTCAAGGATGTCCCTTCCCAGCCTATGGAACAGAAAGGGTATTGGCTTATGAAGTCACATATGGGCCAGATGCCCAATTTTGAGAGAGGACAAAGGAAGCTAAGCAGACTCCAGAGGAAAGACTTGGGGGCAAGATGATGACTGAAGAAGGACAACATATAGACCTTAAGGAGGGACAGGACTGCAATTTAGTCTCAGGGCCCACCTCCTACCTTTACACTGGAAGCGGTGGGTGGGTGTTGTCAGCAAGAGTCTGTCTGCCATGTGCTCAGGGCTGCTGCAGCGGGCAATGCCTGGCTCCTTGTAGCCTTCCTTCACCCACTCTGAAAGCCAGCGTAGGCTGCAGTCACAGTGCAGGGGGTTGGTTCCCAGGGCCCTGAAGAAGCAGTAGTATCAGCTATTAGGTCTTTCCTGATGTCCACCTTCTTGGCACATGTCCCATATTTTAGGAGCCATTTCAATGTTAGCTCCTCTTATCATATACTGATGTGCTTTTAGCTGCTCAAATGGGTAAGTCTTTTGGGGTTTGGGGCAGTGATCAGTGGAGAAATAAGGCCTCTGTTACCCATGGACTCTTTTGCCCCTAAATACTCCCTGCCCCACCCAGGCCAGCCCACCTGATTACCCTCCCATCCCAGAACCTGTTTCAAGTTCCTTCTCCAACTTGGGAAAATTCCTTCCCCACACTTGCAGAATTCCATTCCTCACTTTACCATTTAGATCACATCTTACTACTAGGAAGCCTTTCTGAACCTCAATTGACCTAGGCATCAGTCTTTCTCCCACATTTGTTGTGTTTATGGAGGAATCCATTCCATAGAGAGGGCTCTAATAAAGAAGGGGTCACAAGTTCCTAGTGAGTTCTAGAATCATACAAATATAGATGCCCAAAGGACAGGCTTTAAGAGCCCAAACTTCAAAAATTGGGGAGTCTAGTGCTGACTAATGGAGAGAATCTTGAGGTAGCTATCAGGAAATCTAGGTTTTGTTCCTAGCTCTGTCACTGCTTGCTGTTGGACCTCACACAAAAATGGTCTTGATCTTTCTGTAAAATAGGTTCAGCCCCTTCCCCACACTTACATTCCCCATACCACAGCCCCGGCCTCTGTGGGGCAGAAATAAGGTGTAGGAAACGCAGATAAAGTATGCAGAAACCCGTTCAGTTCTTAGGAAGACAGAAATCAACAGTGTTATCCTTCCCTGATTCCTAGCTGTCATACTCATATATTTCCAAGGTTCATAAGTTTAGCCATGAAGCTGGAGATCTGAAAAATTCATTCTTTTCTTCCCTGAGAATTGTTTTATAATAAAAAAGCCTAAATTTACTTATAGTGTTATAGGATGTCAGAGCTGGAAGGAACCTAAGAGGTCTCTGGCTCTGGGTGAGGGGAAATGAAGATTTATCCTTTTCAAAGGAAGATTCAGACAGAGAGTAGACTGTTTGTTTTCTTTCGGAGACCTCTGGCACCAGAACCTCTGGTGAAGGAGGCTGAGGGACCAGCCTGTGGATGGTCCAAGTCTGAATGCTTCAAGTCTGGAAGTTCCCTGGGGTCCTTACGGAGGTCACAATAAAAACAGAGGGAATAAAATAGGAAAATGCTAGGAGTGTACCTCAAAGAAAACAATGAGGGTCATTAATAACAGCCATTTTCCCCGTGCACATTTCTCAAAAAGTCATTTAGTTGGGGCTTTTGGTGCACTCATCATTACTACATTTGCTCCATGAGAGTGAAGGTAGTAAAACAATGACATGGTGAGTTTTCAACAAGGCACTTACCGATGCCTCTCAGCTCAGCAAAATTAAATATAGGTTAGTAAACTAACAGCCTAGAAATGGGCTCAATGCATTCATTCAATAAGATAAACTAATCCTAAGTCTGTGTGTGTGTGTGTGTGTGTGTGTGTGTGTGTGTATGTATGTGTGTAAGTGGGGAAGCAAAGGGCAGGGGAAGGGGAAAAAGGGGACTAAGGGAGGGGAGAGTCGCTACTTACAGATGGGAAAGAGAGGTCAGGTCATTAAATGAGCCCTCAGGAACACTGGAAATGTCATTGCCGTGAAGAGTTCTGGAGAAGGGATAAACTGAAACATTAAAATCCAACCCTTTTCTCTATGCCTCCATCTCATCTTTGCCTGCTGTCTCTTATCCATACCAAAAATCCCATTTCTCACCTCCATACTTTTGCACAGATGGCTACCCCCTTATCTGGAATGCATTGCCTCTTCCTCACCTCATAGAATGACTCATTTTATTCATAGCACGGTGCTACCTCCTACATGAGATCTTTCCTGATCCCCACAGGAGATAACGCTCTGGACCTCTTGAAATTACTTTGTGTGACTTCGGACATACTTTCTATTTACTTATTTGACTTCTGAATTTCCCCATTTTTGTGAAGGCACAATTCTTTCAATAAAGTTCTTCCAATTTCCCAGAACTGTAACCTCACCCCATACATCTCATCAGTTGCCAAATCTTGCTGTTTCTACCTCCATAACATCTCTCACCTCCCTTGTCTCTTACATACTCAGCTACTACCTCAGTTCAGGCCCTCATCGACCCCCACCTAGGTTATTGAAACAGCATGCCCCTGTACTCTCTTCACATTGCTGCCAAAGTGATTTTTCTTAAGTGGAGATCTGAGCGTGTGACTCTCCTATTCCATAAACTCCAGTGGCTCCCTACTGCCTCCAGGAACAAATAAATGTAAATTTCTCTGTTTAGCTTTTAAAGCCATTTATACATATATAACCTATATCAAATTGCTTGCCTTCTCAGTTGAGGGGTTTGGGGAGGGAGGGAGAGAATTTGGAACGCAAAATTTTGAAAACCAATGTTAAAAATTGTTTTTACATGTAATTGGGGAAAAATGAAATGTAAAATAAAGAAAAAGAGAAAAAAAAATAAAGCCATTTATGACCTTGCCCCAATCTATCTTTCCAGCCTCAATGGACATTAATTACTCCTTCCTCTGTACCCTGTGATCCAGTCAAACTGGATCCTCCCATAGGACTTCAAATCTTCTGTGTCTATGGTTTGGCACCGGCTGTTTCCCAGGCCTCTCTCCTCATCTCCACCTTAAGCACCATGTTCTACATGAAGATTTCCTTGCTTCCCACACGCCCCCACCTCGCCAAGCACCCTCTCAAAAGTGCTACATTTTAGTACTTTGCTTTATATTTATTCTGCACATACTTCTATATGTCCTTGTTGTCTCCTCCATTAGAAGAATGGGGTTGTTTCATTATTTAAATTTGTATTCTTAGCACCTAGCATAGTACCTGGCAGATAGTAGGTACTTAATAGATGCTAAATGCTTTGTACCTTTTAATAGCTAGCATTTATACAGTGCATTAAGGTTTGTAAAATGCTTTATCTATGTTATTTCATTTGATCCTTACAACAACTCTGTAAGGTAAGTGCTATTATCATTCCCATTTTACAGATGAAGAAACTTAGGCTGAAAGAACCTGACCTGCCGAAGGTCACATAGCTAGGAAGTGTCTGAGGCAGTATTTGAACTTAGGTCATCCTGATTCCAAGACCAGCACCTTACCTACCTGCCTCAGTAACTGACATTGTATCCTACCAGTAGAATGTAAGGTCTTTGAGGGCAGGGATTGTTTTATTTTGTTCAGTGTAAAGACAAATCTAAGAGTGAGGGCTAAGACAGAATGTAATAAGTTCCCCATCACTGTAGGTATTTAGATAGAGGCCGAATGATCATTTGCTGGAAACATTGAAAAAGAAAGGTGGACTCAGGTACAGATTGAAATAGATGCCCTCTAAGGTCCTTGCCAATTCTGAGATTCTGTGGTTTTGATATGCATAGAAATTCAGCTATGTGACCAGTCCCAGACCTTTATTGGTCATCTAGGACAGTACCAGGCATGTAGAAGATACATGATACATATTTAATGATTTTGTCAAATTGAATTTGCCTGTTGAAATACCATCAATCCCTAAACAATTACTTGTATATCAATGCAATAGAATATTACTGCCATGTAAGAATGTGAGGGATTCAGAGAAGCCTTGTAAGACTTATGAGAATTAAGTAATCAGAACCAGGAAAAGAAATACACAAATGAGTACAACAAAAGGAAGTAAACAGAAAGTTTACTTTTTGTAAATAGAAACAACAAAAGCCCCAAACTGAATGGTTTTGAAATTATGACCAAAATTGGCCCCCCAGGAAAAGTTAAGAAAATGCACCTCCCTCCTTTTATTGTCAAGTGAGATACAATGGGTATGGGGCATTAAGTATGTTGGGTTAGTTTTGCTGATCTATTTAATTTTTTCTTTCTTCTGTTCCTTAAATTGTAAGCTCCTTGAAGGCAGGGAATGTCTTTTGCCTCCTTTTTGTATCTCCAGCACTTAGTACTGTGCGTGACACAATAGAAGGTGCTTAATAAGTGTTTATTTATTGATTGATTTTTAAATCTTTGTTACATAGCAACAACAACAATAATTAGGAAACATTTATGTACATATCTTCAAGGTTTGCAAAGTGCTTTACAAAGAGGCAGAGGAGGAGTAGCTTTGGAAATGAATGTGATATAAAACAAAATACACCAACCAAAATAAGATGAAATTAAAGAAATTCTACTCATCCTCCAGGATTCAGCTCAAATTTTATACCTTTTATGAAGCTCTGACCAATTCCCTTACCTAAAGATGATCTTTCCTTCCTCTGACCTCCATAGTTTTCTGTGTCTCTATGCTGTTGCTCTCACATTCTATTTTGTTCATTTATTTGCATGTCTATACCCACCCCTCCCAGATTATAGACTCCACAAGGGTTTATTAAATCTTTGAATTTCCCCCAAGTACCTAGGACAAACAATAATTTGCACATAGTTAATATTTAGTAAAGATTTGTTGAATTTCATCAGATTTCTGAAAGCTACAAATTCCACTAGGCACCCCAAAATGGGCAGAAAGCTACCATGCAGTGTATGTATATAGGTGGCTCAACTCCATCTTGCCACCCCTATATGAAACCCTGATGTTTATACTAGCAGCTGACACCTTCCCTGACTCAGGAAACTCTTCAAGCCAAAATTTTATTAAATTTGTAGGAGACACAAAGCTAGGAGGGATGGTTAAACAAATCAGATTCTAGAATCAGGATCCAAAAACATCTTGAAAGGTTTTGATATCGTACTATATCCAAAAAGATGAAATTTAAGAGGGATAAATATGACTTGTAAAATTCACCAATTCAAGAGGAGAGAGACATAGCTAGAGAACAAGTTTTTTCTGTAAAAACATCTGGTGGTTTTAGTGGCCTTCAAGCTCAATATGAGTCTATATTAGCAACTGGAAGGAGTACTGACTGCAATGTTGGAAGACATTAAGAGAGACACAGGTGGTAATGGAGATTGCAGTATCTCTTCCTACCTGGGTATTCTCACAAACTGAGTGACAAACTACATGGTTTAAGTTTGGACAAGCTGTCCAGTCTGGAGAGAAAACTCTCGAGAGGACCTTTTATTTCTAAACATTCAGATTAAAGCTGTGAGGTACTTAAAAAACAAATTGTTGACAATATGCAGTGACTTATTTGCTTTGTAGATTATCCATAATAACATATGAAGAGTTTCACCCTCTACCTTGCAGCTGGTTCCCTGGCCCTGATAATGGACTTAGCCAATAAAGGTCTGGGACTGGTCACATAGCTGAGTTTCTATGCATATCAAAACCACAGAATCTCAGAATTGGCAAGGACCTTAGAGGGCATCTATTTCAATCTGTACCTGAGTCCACCTTTCTTTTTCAATGTTTCCAGCAAACGATCATTCGGCCTCTATCTAAATACCTACAGTCAGGGGAAACTTATTACATTCTGTCTTAGCCCTCACTCTTAGATTTGTCTTTACACTGAACAAAAGTTTATTACTCCTCTATAATTCTCAACTGTTATTTCTTCTTCTGCTCTTTGATGCCCACCAGCACAAATCTAATCCTTTCTCTATGTGACAGTCCTTCAGATATCTGAAGATAGCTGCCATGAGACCCATAAGTCTTCTCTTCCCCAGGATCCCTGGAGAGTGTGTTCTCAGAGGCCTGGTTGTTGCCCTCCTCTGTACGGGTTTCAATTTATCAAAGTTGTTCCTAGGATGTGGTATACTGAACCCAAAACTCTAGATATCCAGATATTTGTGTCAGATTGCACCTAAGACTCAGACCCATGTCAGTGTCTGAGTGCATCTTTCTGACCACATTAGAAAGGGAACTAGAAATTATTTTTGGATAATACAGGTACTTGTTTTTCCCCCTTACTTATTTTACCCTTTATCAGTATAAACATCTGAGAGTTGATTATGTATTCATACTCACATGTGATGTAACTACCTTATAGCCAGGCGCTAAAATCTCAGCAGGGAAGAACAATTAGCAAATTCTTAAATCAAATTAAATCAATTAGTCTTTTAGTCAGTCCTGTTGTAAAGGATGAATCGTTTGTGGTTTAAGTAAGAATGCATGTACCTTGATTATGCAAGTGATGGGTGAACATAGGTCATATTCATGAAAAGTAAGATGTTTGAAATTCATTTATGGAATTTCAAAGACATTTTCATTTATTGGTGAGTACTACCCACCACTTATAATAATGATTAAAGTTCGTAATAGTGGGTATTAATGATTTTTTTTCTCTTTAACTTATTTCAAACTTAGTAACCATCAGTAAGAACATTCAATTATAGAAATGAATTAAAAAAAAAACCCCAACCATCCATGCACTAATCACTTTAATAAAGCATGGATGTTTTTAGTTAAAACAAACCATTAGCCTTGACAGTAGAACTATAAACATGACAATATCCAATGAACTTGCAATCTATTTTTCTTTAGGACAAATATGAAATTGCATTTGGTTTTCACCTATGACAAGTTAGTGCATATAAAAATAGATGGGTTTGGAAAGGGTTCTAAAATCATATCAAGACAATGGTTTTGCTGCACGCCTCTTCAACAATGCAGTTTCCAAGGGACCCCTTAAGCAGCAGAGTCAATAGCTTTCCACAGAACTTTCCATCCTAGGCAATAATCTTTGGGTAAAGTTAGTATGATGGAGTAGGTGGCAGTGGACACGTATCCACTCCCTGTCCAGGAGGGCCTAGCTACTTCGTCTAAGGCTGGAGAAAGAGGCCAGGGTAGGGACACTTCCAAATGCTTTTATAGGAACCATTCAATCCTCAATTCATCAGATTATTTATGGATCACGCAAGCCCTTCCATGCCATTTACCCCGACGAAGGCTTAAAGGCTCCTCACTGTTTTGCAAATGAACTTCAGCCACACTGTTAATCATTTCCAAATGAGACCTGGGCCCCCGGAGGGGAACAGGCAGTATTAATTTAAAAATACCGAATGACCCGAAGGCAGCTTTGGTGCTGTGACTTCTCTTGGTTACACACCCATATATTAGCTCTGCTGCTGAGAACCCTGTAAACTTTCTACACAGTAACAGACTGTAATTCATGGGCACAAAGCTGCCTGGAATTGCTCAGTCAGCAGATTCTCTCCTCTCCTTGCCACCTCCCTCTCTTCTTGGTCCCCCCCCCTCCCCAAAGAAGAAATCCTGCATTTTGAAAACCCAGCTCTAAGCAAAAAGTAACAAGTAGAAAGAAAGCAAGAGCCCACTCAGGGAAGTCTTCAGCATCCGTCTCTTCTCTTCCATGCAGTGTCCTCCTCCACCCTCAAGAGTGAGTGGCTCTAAGCAAAGGGGGAATCTTTCAGGTCCTTAGAACTTCCTCCTCCTTTTCTCTGCTTATGACTGACAATGCATTGCTGAGGACAAGTTAGGGAAGGTCAGGGTTCAGTTAAGGCTCATCTTTGAGAGTATAATAGAAGGTAACCGTAACCCTATCATAGTCAAGAGTCAGAAATCTGATGTGGATGGACTATGGTGGTCATAGTATCATCGCTTTAAGGCTGGAAGGGATTTTAGAGGCCTTCCTTTTAAAGATAAGGAAATAGAAAAGTGAAGTGAATAGCCCAGGGCCACACAGCTCTATGCATTGCACCATCCAGCTGCCCATGATGATCCAGGATGACATTTCTCAGATGCTTATGAGTTCATCTGTGTGTATGACAAACCAGAAATCTAGTGAAGAGCTGGAAGGTCTAAAGAGGTGTGAGGGATGGTATATAATCTTAGCCCAGGAATATGCCTTTAGGGGGATGCTGACCAGAAGCTGGTAGGGGCAGATGCGTTTAGGTCATCATGTAGTAAAGCTTCGGGGTGTCTCTTCAAACATAACTTCACATACCAAGAAAGTGAAATCACAGCTAGTATAGTTATTGAGGCAGTGACCAGCCCTGTCCCTTGACAAGAGGATTACAAAGGGACTCTGATATCCTTAAGAGTACACTTTTGGGGGCTGGTTTGGACAAGCAGCATTCATTTCCTCCCCCTCACTTCACCTTTTACCCTATATCTCCCTGGCCAATATCAACGTATCCACCTCCTACATTTTATTTCCAACAGGGCTGCTTTCTGGGTATTTACTTCATCTCAAGGATGGCATGGCACAGTGGATAAAGAGCCGGCTTCAGAGCCAGGAATTCCTGGGTTCAAATCCTACCTCTGACACACACTGGCTGTGACTCTAGGGCAATCACTTTGCTTCTTGTTGTTCTAGGTAACTCCCTTGGACTATGAGTTGCAGGGCAAGTGCTTACCTGCATTGGCAGAGAGTGTTTGAGACTTTCCAATGAAACCACAGGTTCAGTCCTCTCCATATGGCAAGAACAAGTACATTTAATTTTAAAATGCACCTAAGAGCCTCACAACACTGAGAGTAAACTGACTAAAATACTGATCATGATGTGCAAGGCAGTGTGGTAAAGAGGGAATTGCAGTGAAAGGCCTGGGAGTTCCACATGGATGACCATTGGTTCAAATCCCACCTCCAATATTTCCTAGCTGGGTTTCAGTGGGAAAGTCACTTCATCTAAGCTTCAGTTTCCTCATCTGTAAAGTGGGGGTATATATATGGGAGGGAGGGCGCCTATAGTGACCTCACAGAATTTTTGTGAGGATCAAATGAGAGAAATTGCATCAAGCTCTGTGCAAACCTTAAGATACTTTAATAATGTCAGCAATGGGGGCAAGCTAGGTGGCGCAGTGGATAGAGCACTAACCCTGGAGTCAGGAGGACCTGAGTTCAAATCCGGCCTCAGACACTTCACACTTACTAGCTATGTGACCCTGGGCAAGTCACTTAACCCCAACTGTCTTGCAAACAAAAAAAATAATGTCAGACATGACGAGTGCTAATATACTATGGGACCTTCAGCAAATCACTTCCTTTCTCTGGGCTTCAGTTTCTTCATCTATAATATCAGGAAATTGGGTCAGATTATCTCTAAGGTCCCAGGTCTAATATTTTTCTGTTGCTAAAAAATCTTGGCTTGGGGAGAAGATGTACATATGGATTAGTGTCCACTGAATACAAGACAGCCAAAGCTTGAGCAAGAGAATAAAACTGTACAGGCAGGAGAGTGCCCTGGATGCAATGGAAGTAGATCACGCATAACACACACACACACACACACACACACACACCATCCACATCTGATGGGGCTCAGCCGACAGCACTGGAGCCACCTGAATAACTGGTAAGGAGGAAGAATGCTCAGAAATAAGGGGAGTAAGGGAGAGAACTCTGGCTCAGCTCTGGCCAACGAAATGTACTTTTCTTCCTTTGTGTTAAGCTGGAAATGGGGAAATTGTTTTGCTGATGTTTTCTTTTCTGAATCTCTCCTGAGAACGTGGATAATAAATAAGTGACAATAACAGATTGCACACTGTCAGTCCTGGGCACTTCTTCCCCTTTGGAGAATTGATTTTTAATAACAACACAGATGACACGTGGCATGAGTAGTAGCTGACACCAGAGTTTTGCGGGCTGTAATAAATCATATCAATCTGGAGGGCCCTGAATGGGCACAGCTACTGGGGATCCATTTCACTAATGTCATCATGCATGGGCTCCAGTGGGCATCCAGTTAACAGGTTTGGAAGTGCCAGTAAGCTGTTCCTAACAATATGAAGCTAAGATAAGAAGACATAGAAATGATAATAGGCATAATAAATAATAATCATAATAATAGGAATTCAGGATGGCCCAGTAGATAGAGCCCTTGACTTGGAGTCAGGAAGATCTGAGTTCAAATTTTGCCTCATTTACTTTCTACCTGTGTGACCCTGGGTTAGTCACTTATCTTTGTTTCATCACCTGTAAAACAGGGATAATAATGGCACCTCCCTCTCAGGGTTCTTTTGAGGATTAAATGAGATAATACTTGTAAAGTGTTTTGCAAACCTTAAAGTGCTATGTAAATGATAGTTATAATAATAATAATTATTATATTAGGATTATAATTATATATAATTATATTATACAATAATAATAATAATTATTATTATTATGGTAGTGGTTGATATTAAGAGCTAGAATGGCCACTGGTGACCCCCCAACTTTTTCCTACTCCTAAGCTGTGTTTTGAAACAAGTTTCTTTCCTTTAGGCTGGTCTAGACTAGCCTAGAGTCACCTCTTTCTGAAAATAGTCAATTTGTTTACAGAGGATACTGAACTACCAAGGTAAAGAATGAAATAAGATTATTCCATGGCTAGTAGTCACCCAGTCAGATGGAACCAAATGTCAACCTTCCCCTTAGCCTGCTAGGGTATACTCACAACACCCGAAGAGACCGTAGGCCATTAAAGGCATGGATTGGAATGCACCGCAGCTGGTTGTAGCTCAAGATGCTGAGGGAGAAAAAGACATGATTGTTAACAGTCTGTTGGTTCATTTGTCATGGGCTGTCCATACGTAAGTCATGGACTTTGTGGATTAGTCATCACTAAGGCTGCACAACAGGTCAGTTTCCTCCTTGCTACTGAGTAAGCCTCTGGGACTACTTGCCTCTGCCTTCAAGTGGTGTGTACTCAACACATGCAAAGCTACCTAAAACAAAGCTAACTGGCTTGAACAGAGTGTAATCAGGCAGGGAAAGTCAATGCAAGTGGGAAAAAAAACCCCTCAATTAAATAGGAAGAATTACAAAACTTAATACAAATATTTACTGATTTTCTCTGATGCTGATTACATGTCTAGGCTCACCTCCATTGAAATGGCAGAGGGTCCACTAATATTCCTGAGATACCAGGAGAAAAGAGAGGAAGGGCTGCAGATGTTGGGTGGATCCCCAAGGACATGGACATACCCATGACTGGGTAGCCACATAGTTGTGTTTTCTTCTAAATCATTGGAGGTAATATCCACAGAGATCACAGATCCAAGTATCTGAGTACTAGTTGTTTTCCTGGGTAGAATGTAAGCTTCTTGAGGGCAAGGACTATTCTTTTTTTTTATGTTTGCATCTCTAACACCTATTGCTCAGCCTGACACAAGGAAAGTGCTTAATACATGCTTGTTGAGTTATATTGAATAAATGCCTAAGCTCTATGGTCATTAGCCTACTATACATTGTAGGTGGGGGTTGTGGGGAAAGGAAAGAGAAGACATAGATCTAAGAGGAAAATACAGGAAAAGAAGGGGCATAGGCTCGGTGACAAATGCTAGTTTGTTGTACTACTTACAGTGTGGAGAGCTGAGTCATATTGCTGAAGGTGTAATTGGCCAGGACGCTGATGCTGTTATTGCTCAAGTCACTAGAGAAGAAATGCACAACACAAGAATCACAGCTACCCTTGGTTCTCCGGACTAGTCATTTCTGATGGGCACTTCTCACTGTAGCCAAAGGTCACCTCCATGTGTTCTCATTACAGGCTGTTTCCAAATGTCCTTCATGCATATTATCTGAGGACCTTCCAATTGCCCCCAAATCCCAGTTCATCAGATTCCCTTTAACAGAGAGTGAAGTTGTGGGTTTGGGAGGGAGTTCCAGGTCCTCTGTAGGGGATATTCAGAGGCAAGATGCAAGCCTGAGCTGGGAGCCAGGCCTCATTAAAGAACAAGTGGGTTAATCCTTCACCTTTAGCTTGAAACCCTTCCTGCTCCCCTCAGTTGTCAGTGCCCTCCCAAACTGCTTTGTTTTGAACTACTTTGTATGTACTTGTATTTATTCTCATTATATTTATTTGTTTTACATATATATATATATACATATGATAAGCAAATCACGAATAAGAAAAACACGAATATATTTAAATATATATGCCCTTAAGGAACATGCATTCTAACGGGGGAGACAACAAGTATATATACATATTTTGTCGTTGTTTCGAGGTTTCAGTTGTGTCTGACTCTGTGACCCCATTTGTGGTTTTCTTGGCAAAGACACTGGAGTGGTTTGCCATTTCCTTCTCCAATTCATTTTACAGATAAAGAAATTGAGGCAAACTGAGTTAAGTGACTTGCCTAGGGTCACACAGCTAGTAAATGTCTGAGGCCAGATTTGAACTCAGGAAGATGAGTCTCCCTGACTCCAGACCTGGCACTCTATCCACTGTTCCACCTAGCTGATGTATGTATGTATGATTTATACATGCATAGATATATATGTATACACAAACAAATACACACACACATATACTATATATATATATATATATATATATATATATATATATATATATACACACATACACACATCCAAACTTGATGTCTCCGCCTTTAGAATGTGAGTCTCTTGAAGGTGGGTTTATTTAATTCTTCATATTAATGTCCCCAGTGCCTAGCAGAGTTCCTGACACATAGTGGGGGCTCATTAAATGATTGATTGATTTGTGCTGAATGATTGATTCTTTCCAGGTCTAACTTCCCAGTCACTCATTCCTTCACAGGTCATTTCATGGGGGTGGGGGCGGGAAGATGGGCTCTCATTTGCCATCTGCTAAGAGCCCTGGCCAAAGAGTACTCTCCTTCCACCTTAAGCTGACTGACCTACACAGGTCCTATTTTTGTTGGGGCCATTGGAGGTTGAAGAGGCCCCAAGAATATTTAGTAATAACTACCAGAATGAGCGTATGGATTTTACCTCTCCCCAGTACTGCACACCAAACCAACCCAGCTCTGTCTGCCTTAGTACAGGGCAGCCCAGGTCTTCACTCAAAGAGTTTTGCATATTTACAGAGAAGCATGCCAGGGCTGGTTACTTTACTGAGGGAGGAAACTCAGTTAAAGACAGACCCTCATGTACCTCTTCCAGCTCATTTTAGACTATGTGCTTAGGATTAGGGAAGGGGAAGAGGAGCAGGAGTACATATACTATCAAAGTGTTAAGGAATTTTAAACCTGCCAAGTCCTGCTGGTGTGTAACTGGTCCTGGTCCCTTACGGTGAAACAGGGGCAAAACTCTGTGGCTCTCTCCATCACTCTAAGCATGGGGTCCACTGAGCTAACCTCCCAGTGCAGGGGCAAAAATAAGTATCTCATGTAGTTTCCACCCAGCCCCAGGCTCCTTACATCAGTGTCAGGTGTCTGAGGCCGGATAGCTCTTTGGGTACAGTTGTTAAATGGTTTCCTTCCAGGTACCTGGTAAAAAAAAAAAGACAGAGTGAAGGGAAACAAATCAGACACACACACACACACACACACACACACACACACACACACACACACACACACACACACACACTCTTTTCAGGCAAGGACTCCTGAGAGATGAGGCTCTGTTCCCCATGCATAATGGATGGAAATAAGGCGAGGAGGCAAGATTTATGGGAAGAAGGGGGAAAAAAGACTTCTACTTTTTGAGCCCAAGGTTGTTTCTTTTCACAGAGGAACATACAAGTTCCGTTTTTTCAGGGCCCCTACTTCAAGCAGTGCTAACCTGGGTCGCCCAGGATTAGCTTGCAAAGCTCAGCTGTGAAAGTTGGAAAGAATTGCTATCCTTCCTTCCAGGGACAATCATTTAGTATTCAAGGGCATACAGTACACATTTGGAAGGGAAAAAAAAGATTTTTAAAATGTCCCTCTTACTGTTAGCTGAAATTACTATACATTCCAAATCCGGAACATGGTTGCTGTAAAAGACTGTGTGGCATAGTGAACAGAAGACTAGATTTAGAGTCAGGAAGATCTGGGTTCAAGTCTTGCCTCTGACACATACTAACCATGTGACTCCAAGTCACTTAATGTCTTGGTGCCCAGGTTATTGCTCGAGGTTATTGTCTAAGTGACGGAAGAATTGCAGATCTGTGCTAATGGAAGGAGTGTGCACACAGGCAGTTTCCCACCATGAGGAAATCACAACTCTGCCCCTGCTTCACATGCCGTCCCCTACCCTCCCTACCTCCCTACCTGCAGGGAGGCAGTCATGGACTGATATGGGTACCAGCTCCCAGTGCTCCAGGGAAAGAAAGAACAGAACCATCAGATCAGAGCTTTAGAGCTGGAAGTAACCTTTGAGGCAATCTATTTCAACTCCCTGGTTTTCCAGGTGAGGAAACAGAGGCCCACGTTGTTACTTGGCTAAGATGACACAGGTCAAATTCCTGCCAGAATCAGGATTTGAACTTGGGTTATTCATCTCCAAAGCCAGTGTTCCTTCTTATCACTGTTGGTGGCTGGTGACCAAAGCAAGCAGCCATATTAAAGGGAAGGAAGACCAATTATGAAGACAGGTAAAAAAGACTAGGCTTCTTCAGCCTGGGAAGGCAAAGACCAAGGGAGGAAGGCACCAGTGGAATCTATAAAGTCATAAAAGTCATAGATAATGATAATAATAGCATTTTGAGATTTGTAAAGCCCTTTTACATATATCATTACATATGTCATCTTATTTGATCTTCACAACAACCCTGTGAGATAGGTACTATTAGTATTCCTATTTTACAGATGAGGAAACTGAGGCAGAGGTTAAGTGATTTGCCCAGTGTCACACTGCTAGTAAGTATCTGAGCCTCTGAACTCAGGTCTTCCTGACTCTAGGCCCAGTGCTTTTTCTGCTACCCCACCTAACTGTATAGAAGGTAACACCTGAGCTGAGCCTCGAAAGAAACTTATTTTCCTGTTGTTGAACTATGCCTCTTTCTATCATGTACCTTGGGGTTCTTGCTGCCAACAGGATACTATCCTGTGTCTTATTTTTCTTTATCCTTCTTCCCCAAACCCTACTCCCCAACACATAGTACAAGATCTTTTTTTTTAAATTTTTTTTTTTTTGGGTAGGCAATGGGGTTAAGTGACTTGCCTAGGGTTACATAGCTAGTAAGTGTCATGTGTCTGAGGTTTGAACTCAGGTCCTCCTGAATCCAGGGCCGGTGCTCTATCCACTGCCCCACCTAGCTGCCCCCATAGTACAATATCTTGCAAGTAGAAGGTACTCAAGGAGTGTTTGTTAAATTAATTGTAGAATGTTGCAACAATATTGTTTTCTATCTTTTTCTTTGTTAATATACAGGACATGGGATAGCTAGGTGACACAGAGCATAGAGCACTAGGCCTGGAGTCAGTAAGACTGGAGTTCAAATCCAGCCTCAGATACTGACTAGCTGTGTGACCCTGGGAAAGTCACTTAATCCAGTTAACCCTTTCCTTAACCCTAAGGAAACCTCAGTTTCCTCATTTGTAAAATGAGCTGGAGAAGGAAATGGCAAACCACTCCAGTATCTTTGCCAAGGAAGCCCCAAATGGGGTTACAAAGAGTCGGACATGACTGAAGATGACTCAACAGCGACGTGTAGTCCACGCCGAATTAATTTCCGTGCTGTACTCTGGACTTTCTCTACCATACTGAATGAAGCCTCACCCCAGCCCTGGAACTCACATTTTGGAAGTACCCTGCATCCCTACGGCATCTCCTCTGATTGGATGGTTCCTTCATTTATTGGATGGAACCTTCATTTAAGGAGGGCACGCAGGTCAATCACGTCTCATTGCTCTCCAGACAGAACGTCAGACTTCTTCTACCATCCCCCATGTAGTACTGTTGTCTCTCCCCCAAACCCCTGTGCTGCCCTCCTCCGTTAGAACTTAGCCTCTTTGAGGGAAGGGACTTTCTTCCTACTCACATTTGTATTCCCAGTGCTTAGCATAGTGTTTTGCAAACAATAAGTGCTTAATAAATGCTAGTTGACTAGCTGACTATTTTAGCTCCTAATTAAATGCTGGTTTAAAAATAAACTTTTCTACATGTTAAAAAAAGAACTGAAATGATACACGGTCAGTGGTACACATATTGAGCTGTTGCTTGGAATATAGACTGACTGAAATGTTTGCACCCTCTTTGTAACTCTGGGTGCCTGAGTTTTTGGTGGTTTGCAGAGTACAGAGCTGAAAGCTGTGGGAATGGGGCTGGTCTGGGGGGGAGTGCAACTGGGGGACTTTGCTATTGAATTCTTCCAGTTAGGTAGATAAAACTTTATGTGGGAAATGGGGTTTTAGGAATTCTGCACATGGCAACTTGGAGGAGGGAAGGTACTTAGATGCAGGGTATCAGGTGAAGGAAGGCATCAGTAGGATAAATGAGCCAGGTGGGTGGTAAGGAGCAAGCTGAGGGTGCACTTCACTCAGGTAGACTAATTAGCCCCAAGAGAAATACTACTAAGAAGTCTGGATCAGATAGAAAGTGATTGAACACACCCTCAGACTCAGCCACAAACACACGTATACTTTTTTCTCTCCATCCATTCTTTTCCTCAACTGTTCCTTTACTCAGTTCAGGGCAGAAAACATTTATTAAGAACCTAATATTTTCAAGGAACCATATTGGGATCTTTATTAAAATAAAAATGAAAACACTCCCAGTTTTGAGGAGATTACATCCTACTGGGGACACAGCATGCAAACAGATACAAGATAATTCAGGGAAGGAGAGACAGTGAACACTGATTCCAGGGGATTAGCAAAGCCTTCATGTAGGACCAGGTGACCTCTGAGCTGAGCTTTGAAGGAAGCTAGTGAGTCTAAGAAGCAGAGATGAGCATAGAGTAGATGCCACATGTGGGAGACAGCTTGTATGTAGGTAAGAGATTGGATATCCAGCTCAGGTAAAACCTGGTGGGCCAGAGTGGTTGGATGATAGGATAGATGAAGGGGAATAGTAGTCATAATACACAAAAAATTTGGAAAGGTAGGCTGGAATCAGATGATGGAGGGTTATAAATGCAAGGCTGAGGAATTTATCTTGGAGGCAAAGGAGAGACACCAAAGGTTTTTTAGCAGGAGAGCAACATGTTCAAGCTTGTGTTTTAGTAATATTAATTTGGAAGATTAGAAAAGGGAGAGAATGGAAACAAGGAGAATAATTATGAGACATGTTGTATATGGTAGAGTCAACAGGACTTGGAAAACAGATATATGGGGTGAGAGAGAAGGAAGACTCAAGTTTGACTCCAAAATTACCCTTCTCCTACTCCTTCTTCCTTTCTCTTTTCATCACTTACAAACTATCACTGCTTGGGGGTAATGTCTTGAAATGCCCAAAACAGGTTTACATGTAATTTAAGTGGTTAATTCACGACTATAGGATGCTATGTGATTCACAGACACTCAATTTGGAACAGATTAGCTGGACCCTTCTGTCTTAGTGTCCCAGGGACTTCAGTGTTAGTCCGGACAGTATTTCACAGAGGTGGTCTGCTCTAGACATAGGATGAGGAATATATTCTTAAACATGGGCAAGAAGGCTGATTTATTTTGCTTAGTTGTACTTTATTGCAAGGGACAGTTCTACTTCTAGGTGGTGATGTGGATAAAGCACTGGGACTAAAGTTAGGAAGATCCGAGTTCAAATTTGACCTCAGACACTTACTAGTTGTGTGACCTTGGGCAAGTCATTTCACATCTGAATTTCCTTACCTGTAAAATGGGGATAATAATAGCACCTACCTCCAGGGTTGTTGTGAGGATCAAAACATAATATTTGTTTTTTTTGTTTTGTTTCTTTTTTTTTTTTACCGAGGCAAATGGGGTTAATCAACTTGTTCAGAGTCACACAGCTAGTAAGCCTTATGTGTCTGAGGCCAAATTTGAACTCAGGTCCTCCCAACTCCAGGGCCGGTGCTCTATCCACTGCGCCACCTAGCTGTCACTCAAAACACAATATTTGGAAAGCACTTAGCATACACTTGATAAATGCTTGTTTCTTTCCTTCCTTCTGGGTTCAGGGAGGGGTCACTGAGAAATAACAGCAATGTTAAAAAAAATGAAAACAATAAACTTTTTACTTAATTTTTTAAAAATGGGGTATAGGTGTGTCAAAAGGACATTTGGCATGTTCTTTTTCATCTCAGAAGTGTCCAATCAGGGCAGGACGCTAGAGTCCAGGGAAGCCTAGACCTCTGATTATGCTTAACCATAGCAACAGTCATGACCACAAATGGAAAGCGCTTTGTTGAATTTGTTGTTAGATGCTAGGAACAACTGACATTTGTATAGCACCCTTGTGTGTGCAAAGTGCTTTACATTTATTAGCTCATTTGATCATCACAACAGCCCTGAGAGGCAGGTATTAAAGGTATTATTACTATTACATAGATAGAGAGCTGGCTTGGAAGCCAGCAGGACTGGGACAAAGTCCTATGTCTGAT